AAACCACTTCGTTATCATCATTGCAATATCCTGAGTAAGTTCAAACTGCTCAGTTTTGACAATATAATTCTATATAATAATCTAAGAACTATATTCAAAATCACTAATAATACAGCTCCACCACCACTGAAGAACTTTGTCAGACTTTGTTCTGAGCAAAATACGAGAGCCACTCGGTCCACTGCAAATAAAAACTGTGTAATCCCAAAAAGATCCTCGGCCTTTGCACAATGTGCCTTCTCATTTCGCTCCATTAAACAGTGGAATGAGCTTCCAGACTGTCTGAAACTGTCTGTAGATCATAATAGTTTTACTCGAAATTTGAAAAAGTATATTTTAGATCATCAATCGTGTCAGCATTGATGAATGTATTGTAAACTGTAGGGATTGTTTATATGTTTTTTTAGAAGTGTACAGAAAACTAATGTTTTTTATATAGTGATTTTATTGTAGATTAGATTTATAGATTGTAATGATGTTTGTACTCACCTGTCCAGGGACTGCAGATGGAAAATAGCTACTTTGCTAAATCTGGTACAAATCATCTCTTCTTTTGTAAAGACTAATGGTTTTGTACACTGTCCCTGTTTCAATAAACAATAAACTATAAACTGTAATCAAATGACTTAGGTTAAATCGATTAACCTGACTTAGGAATAAATTCAATACTTATTTTTTAAATGTCTTTATTCATCAGGACAATATACAATAGCTTTTACAAAGCAGATATGTTTACACCAGACTGTAGGTAATCTAATTCCCTTGTACTGTGATGGGAGACCTCTGTGAATACAGGTAGCACATTGGGGAGGCCTGGTATGAACCTATTGGCTGATTAGTGTAGGTTGGAGGGACTGTCCCAGGGCAGCTGTGGCTACAATATTAGTGTATAACCGTGTACGCAGTGTACTTAAACGCGCCATATAAAACCAATGTAAAATCATTAGTATTAGAATTTACCTACATGGCTGTCTTTTTCAGGCATCAATCTTTTTAGGCCCGAGCCCCGAACGGGGTAAGGGCCTATTGCTTTCACAATGGTGAAAACAAATGGTGGCGGTGCGTGACGGACGCGTCAGCGCCCGTCACTCACCAAAATGTGACAGTTGCGTGCGTAAACTCAAAAGCTTTAAAATGATGTATCACATGCCATTGAAACCTATATTGTTTTTGCTCGAGACGTTAAAAAAAAAATTCCTTTTTTATTTATTTCTTTCTTTCTTTTTTCTTCTGCACTTTGAGCCTTAATTTGACCCCCTGAACATGCATGAAAAGTTGTTAATTTTGGCCCAAAAATCAGACCTGGCGAAAAATTTGATATTTTGGTGTTTATTTTTATGGGACTCAAAAAATGCCAGAACAGCGCCACCTACAACAGCCAAAATAATACCCCTATGGGACTTTTTGGAGGTCAAGTTTGTCGTAGAAACATGAGATTTGGTACACATGTTCCTTGAGTCAAGACATGAAAAAAATATTATTATGGCTCCGCCCTCTGACAAACAGGAAGCCCATAAATTTCACTGCAAAATGGAAAAATGAACAGCAAAAGTTTTCATACATGTCGGTTGGAAAGCGACTCCTCCTCGGCCGTTTCACCGATTCGCCTCAAAATCGCTCCACATCATCTCAACACATGTACCTTCAAAATGACCTCAGGGATTTTTGATCAGTGAAACATTGTTTGAGCAGCGGAGCGGCAAAATGTGACCTTTTTTTGGCCGTTTTTGACAACATTAAATTTGCTCCCGTTTGCACAAACAAAGTCTGATTTGCACAAAACTTTAATACATTGTTCAACTTTAGGGTCTAGGTCATTTGAAAGTTAAATGATTCACATTGACACATTAGCGCCCCCTACAGACTATTTCAAAGTTTTAGATGGGCATTTTCAAATTTAGTTTTTTCAAAATGTTTGAAATTTTGCACATAAATCTGTTTTGCACTCTTGATTCAAAAAGTCAATAGGGTCCAAGGCTTATTTTTTACCCTGTTGCCGTGGCGACGACAAACGCTCCAGATTCATTGCAAATGTACACCTCACACAAACATCAAACTAGCCTCGGCCGTTTCACCTATTCGCCTCAAAATCGCTCCACATCATCTCAACACATGTACCGTCAAAATGACCTCAGGGATTTATGATCAGTGAAACGTTGTTTGAGCAGCGGAGCGGCAAATAGTGGCGTATTTTTTTTCAGTTTTTGACAATAGAAAAATGGCTTCCGTTTGGACAAACAAAGTCTGATTTGCACAAAACTTAAATCCATGGTTCAACTCTTGGGTCTAGGTCATTTGAAAGTTAAAATTTTGAAATTGGCTCTATAGCGCCACCTACAACAGCCGATTTAAAAATGCCTATGGGAGGGGTTCGAGGTCAAAATTGTCATAGAACCATGTAATTTGGAACACATGTTCCTCAAGTCAAGACATTGAACTTGTTTTATTATGGCTAAGCCCTCTGACAAACAGAAAGCCCATAAATTTCACTGCAAAATGGAAAAATGAAAAATAATCATTTTCATACATGTCGGTTGGAAAGCGACTCCTCCTCGGCCGTTTCACCGATTGGCCTCAAAATTGTTCCAAATCATCTCAACACATTTACCTTCAAAATGACTTCAGGGAATTTTGATCAGTGAAACGTTGTTTGAGCAGCGAAGCGGCAAAATGTGAGGGTTTTTTTGGCCGTTTTTGACAACATTAATTTTTTCCCGTTTGCACAAACAAAGTCTGATTTGCATTAAACTTGAATCCATTGTTCAACTCCAGGGTTTAGGTCAGGTGAAAGTGAAATATTTGAAATTGGCCCATTAGCGCCCCCTAAAGACTGAGCCAAAGTTTACATCGGGAGCCAAACCAGCTCTACTTATCATATTCATTCAAATTTGACTAACAATCTTCTATGACTACGGGAACAAATCATCACACGGCGGCGCCACCTCCTTTGAGCGGTGCTGCGTGGTACGGTGTGGTGCGGCGTAGTGCGGGGCGTTGTGGAGCGGCGCGTTGCGGCTTGGTACGGGACGGCGTGGTGCGGGACGGCGTGGTGCGGGACGGCGTGGTGCGGGACGGCGTGGTGCGGGACGGCGTGGTGCAGGGCGGCGTGGTGCGGGGAGTGCGCGCGGTGCAGGGAGTCGCGCGGTGCGGCGAGGGCCGTTCGACGCCGCTTGCGGCTTTAATTTTATTTGCATTCCCCCCCAATCCAAACACATAATCAGGTGCCATTTTCCAATACTAAAACTCCTAATTGCTAAATAGCTTGAATCCGGTGGCTGCCTGATGTGGTTTAGCCGCTTGTTCATCACTCAAAACGGTGGTGCATATGCAGGAGCTCTTTAGTCAAGGTCTGCCCGCAGCCTTGAGTGAACATTTGCATAGACCGATAGTGAGGCGTTGGTATGCAGCCGCAGAGCCTGTCTAAGCCCTGTCCTTCAACACTAAATGTAACCTCCACCAGCACTGACAAAACAAGGGATTAAAGACTAATTTCTCTGTGAAGATCAAAAAACAATGCATCGGCAGCTATAAGAAGACGAACCAAACTAAATTTACATACAAAATAACTAAATTTTTTTACTTGCTTTGTTGTCAGGGTCTGTGCGTGAAGGTAAATCTGTGAGTGTTGTTTTAGAAATACAATACAGAAAGTTGCAAAGCTGCCATCTGGTAACATCTGAAAACTCTTGTAATGAAAATTATTCATTCATATCACCACTACAGCTGCCTATAATTGTCTCTCCACAAATTATTTAAGGATTGTGTCATGCATGGTTTTACCTCATGTACTGTACAACAGTCGGGGGCGACAGTGGCTCAGTTGGTAGAGCATAGGTCTTTGAGCCCGAAGGTTGTGGGTTCGAGCCCACTGCGAGACCTTCTCCACCAACACTGATGTCTGCTGTCGTTGTGTCCTTGGGCAAGACACTTAACCCAGCGCGGAAGTAATGTTTGCTGCTTGCCCTGATGTGTATGTGTATGCATCACACTGAAATTTCCCCATTGTGGCATGAATAAAGGAATTTCTTCTTCTCAATATTATACTATTACTGTATGTGTTTTTGAATGTATGGTGGGGGATTGGAATCAAATTAGCACCTCCATTGGGTATTACTCCCATTCATTTATATGGTGGCAAGAGAGTCTGTGAATCTGGCCGAATGTGGCCCATGGTCTGCACTTTGCCCAGGTCTCCTCCAGACAATGTGGGTGAAGTGCCTGGAATCATACCTCAAATGATATCTGACGATCAGATATCTGACGATCAGATATCTTTACCTGCTATTGAGAGCCACAGTTTGATTTCACAATCTGCTTTCTCATTGAATTGGGCATGTCCAAACAAAGGCCCGCAGCCAAATGTGGGTTTGTTTGTGGTCTTCCGCCTTATAAACACAGACTAGCCATTGAGGCACTTCCATAGTGTCATCCAGCCAACTTCAGCTCCACAAATAGTCATGCTAAGCCTAGTTGTAAAGCTAAGAATATAAGAATATGGAATATTTGCACATACTGAGAATTATTTTTGATTTTGTCACCAATTTCCACATATAGACCTAATGTTGTTGTGGTGTGAATCTATATGCATATATCATACGCAACTCTAAAGTCCAGTTTTAAAATTAATGTTTTCAACCCCTGGACAAGTGTGCTAACTAAAGTAGACTGCTTACTGAAGAGTGTGGACACCACTGCATTTTATTAGATGTTAACATAAACATTAAAGCCATCAGCACGACACATATATATATATATGTATATATATATATATATATATATATATATATATATATATATATATATATATTAGAACATCACATGAAGAATATAAATGTTATAAATACATTTGGAAAAGTTGCCTCCAGAAGAAATCTCTAATTGTTTTCCTGTTCCGCTTCCTTTGCCTTAATGCCAGACACTCTGACATTTCAACCCCTGCAAAACCACCTTCATGAGTTACACAACGCACCTTTACCTAAATCCTCTGCCTGTGTTTTCAGATAAGTCATCGGTCCCTCCCGCGCTGCTCGTTGCTGCCTCCTCGCTCCGGGACCATGCAGCGTTCTTCCAGTCTGAGGTCATGCGTCCGGCCAATGACCCCAAAGAGCGGGACCCGGCTCACGTGCGCATGCTCAACGATGTGCTGAAAGACATGGAGAAGAGCTTCATCCTCCCGCACGCTCCCCCCGGCGTCTACAGGTACATTCAGGTCTAAATTTATTCCAAATCTATTCAAAACTTTGGCCTGTTTTAGTCACACAGCCAATCAATTTAGAGTATTTTATTTGGAAGAAAAACAGTGGGGAAATTGCATCACCAGTTAAAAGACAGTAGTAATGTGGACCACACAGCAATTTCAATGTTATTCAACACAATTTATTTTTTGTATAACAACAGCAGTTACCTCAGAGGACTTTACAAAACCGTTTAATTTGCCAACACAGATCAGAGAATCAAACCGTTCAAACGCAATAAATGCAATGATAGAAAACACTTAGGTATTGGTTCATGAGGAGCAGATGACCAATGTCCATAAATGTTGATAAATGTCCATACTTTATTATTATTACATAATATATCCTGCACAAAAGAGACTATATTTTTAACCTTTAACATGTTTGCACACTTCCTGTCTCTTTGCACAACCTGAGACCACAACCTGATACTATCTATGCAAAATGTGACATGTACTTCTCCTTTGTGAGATCCATTATAGTTTATCTTATCTCATCTTATGTTGTTGAAGATCAACATAAGATGAGATCATCACCGCTGTTCTTTTATTTTGTTAGACCTTCCCGCATTGGCAAGGAAAACATCTAAAACCCAAGAGTTTTAGAGAGACGGCACAGGATGAGTTAACAATAACTCTTAGCATTATAAAGAAGCCAGTATAAACTCTGTAACTTTCGCATACTAAATAAGTAATTATAACATTTGTAACTTTAGCATTAAAAGACGCAAGTATAAAATCCATAACAAAATATAAAATACTGTTGTATGTTGTATGTATACATCTGTACATGTTATCAGCATGAGGGTATAGGACAAAGTGGCCAAGGAGACATACTTTCTAAATTGTAACCCCGAGAAAAAAATCATTTTAAGAGCAGCTGAAGTTAGTCTACCTCCATAATAATAATAATTCACTAGTCACTAGTCACTTTACCTGTTATTATTACTATTACTGCATAGCTGCATATCTATTCATCTAATATTTCTGTCATTTACTAGTCACTTCACCTACTGACACCTGCCGATATTATTACTATGGTCATATTCTCTGCAGCTATAGAAGAATATATAATCTGTAAAAACCTCTGAACCAAGTGCAATTATAGCTCCAGAGTTTATCTTACTTATTTTTTTATTCCATTTTACTTTCTTTTTTGATTGACTGCGGAACCTTCCGCAGTCAACCATTGGTTTTGTATTTCTTTATTCCGTCATTTTTTTTGACACGTTTCACAGCTTTCACATTTTCAACAATTTCCACAAGTTATACATCAAAACGTTCCACATGTTTGGGAGATTATTGCTATTACTTTTGGGACTTCAGCGATTTCCGGTTTTTCCGCAATCGGACAAAAATCTGCATTGAGAATTCTGCAATGCATTTTAATAGGCCCATGCATTTTAATAGGACTTCAGCTCTTTCAGACATTTCTACAGTTTCAATGATTCAACAGTTTCAAGGATTCAACAGTTTCAAGGATTTCAGCAGTTTCAAGATTTCAAGAGTTTCAAGGACTTCAACAGTTTCAAGGACTTCAGCAGTTTCAAGGACTTCAGCAGTTTCAAGGACTTCAGCAGTTTCAAGGACTTCAGTGTAATCATGCAACCTAATAGGGATTTTTCCATGTAAACCAGTATAATGCAACTTAATAGGGATTTTTCCATGTAAACCAGTATAATGCAACTTAATAGGGTTTTTTCATGTAAACCAGTATAATGCAACTTAATAGGGTTTTTTTTTCATGTAAACCAGTATAATGCAACTTAATGGGGATTTTTCCATGTAAACCAGTATAATGCAACTTAATAGGGGTTTTTACATGTAAACCAGTATAATGCAACTTAATAGGGTTTTTTCCATGTAAACCAGTATAATGCAACTTAATAGGGTTTTTTCCATGTAAACCAGTATAATGCAACTTAATAGGGTTTTTTCCATGTAAACCAGTACAATGCAACTTAATAGGGATTTTTCCATGTAAACCAGTATAATGCAACTTAATAGGGTTTTTTACATGTAAACCAGTATAATGCAACTTAATGGGGATTTTTCCATGTAAACCAGTATTATGCAACTTAATAGGGATTTTTCCATGTAAACCAGTATAATGCAACTTAATAGGGTTTTTTCATGTAAACCAGTATAATGCAACTTAATAGGGTTTTTTTCATGTAAACCAGTATAATGCAACTTAATGGGGATTTTTCCATGTAAACCAGTATAATGCAACTTAATAGGGGTTTTTACATGTAAACCAGTATAATGCAACTTAATAGGGTTTTTTCCATGTAAACCAGTATAATGCAACTTAATAGGGTTTTTTCCATGTAAACCAGTATAATGCAACTTAATAGGGTTTTTTCCATGTAAACCAGTACAATGCAACTTAATAGGGATTTTTCCATGTAAACCAGTATAATGCAACTTAATAGGGTTTTTTACATGTAAACCAGTATAATGCAACTTAATGGGGATTTTTCCATGTAAACCAGTATTATGCAACTTAATAGGGATTTTTCCATGTAAACCAGTATAATGCAACTTAATAGGGATTTTTCCTTGTAAACCAGTATAATGCAACTTAATAGGGTTTTTTTCATGTAAACCAGTATAATGCAACTTAATGGGGATTTTTCCATGTAAACCAGTATTATGCAACTTAATAGGGATTTTTCCATGTAAACCAGTATAATGCAACTTAATAGGGTTTTTACATGTAAACCAGTATAATGGAACTTAATAGGGGTTTTTACATGTAAACCAGTATAATGGAACTTAATAGGGGTTTTTACATGTAAACCAGTATAATGCAACTTAATAAGGATTTTTACATGTAAACCACTATAATGTAACCTAATAGGGGTTTTTACATGTAAACCAGTATAAAGCAACTTAATAGGGATTTGTACATGTAAACCAGTATAATGCAACCTAATAGGGATTTTTCCATGTAAACCAGTATAATGCAACTTAATAGAGATTTTTCCATGTAAACCAGTATAATGCAAAGCAAAGGAAGGTTTCTCACCCATCATCTGTACTTCTTAGCAAGTTTTCCCGACGTTTCGTCCTCAACCTGGGGACTTCTTCAGGGAATGAATTCTCGGACCGCGCGTTGGAGATTTATAACCTATGGGTGTGGTAAGCCACACCCTAACCCTGATACTAACTCGTAAACAATCTCAGGTCTGCTTGATGTAGAAGGGAGCAGGTCTAACGACCCTGCTGAGGCTAACGACCCTAACTCCTTAGCATGTCACAGACCTATTGTCTGCTGGGATGCTCAAGTGGAGTGCAGGTTTCACCCCTCCTAACTCATTAGCATGTCACTGACCTTGTCCCAAGTTTGGGCGTTGTTTTTAGGATGTCGTCATAGATGCGAGGCAAAACAAATCTTAACCCTCCTCCTCTGTTAAGAGAAGGTTTCTGTTTCCTCACAAAAATGGCTTCTTTCACCCCTCTCTCAAACCAATTCTTCTCCCGAGCCAGAATTTTAACCTCTGTGTCATCCACCGTGTGGTTGGAGGCCTTGAGGTGGAGATGAACAGCCGACTGTGGCCCACTAGAGTTTTCTCTACGATGTTGGTAAAGTCGTTTCTGTAGAGTTTGTTTGGTTTCTCCAATATAGTGGTCAGTGCACTCCTCTTCACTACATTTAATTGAATACACCACATTGCTCTGTTTGTGTCTGGGTGTTTTGTCTTTGGGATGCACTAATTTCTGTCTTAACGTGTTGAAAGGTTTGAAATACACAGGGATTTTGTGTTGCCTAAAGATTCTTTGTAGTTTCTCTGAAACTCCCGCCACATACGGTAAGGACACCCCTCTCCTCCTACTTTCTTCTGTCTGTTGGACTGTGTCTCTGGCCTTTCTCGTCCTTTGGGCTTTAGTAAAAGACCACTTGGGGTAGCCACATCTGGAAAGTGCTCTCTGAACATGTTTGGTTTCTCTGTTCTTTCCCTCCGAGCTAGTGGGGACCTGGTGGGCTCGGTGTTGAAGCGTTCTAATGACCCCGAGTTTGTGTTGTAGCGGATGATTTGAATCAAAAGCCAAGTACTGGTCAGTGTGAGTGGACTTTCTGAAGACCTCAGTCTCTAATTGTCCGTTCTCCAGTATGATGACCTTACAATCTAGAAAGGCGAGTTCACTCTCCTTAGCATCCTCGCGAGTGAAATTTATAAAAGGGTCCACCGAGTTAATGTGTGCTGAAAATGGTTCCACTTCCTGTTTCTTTAACTTAACCCATGTATCGTCTACATATCGAAACCAATGGCTTGGCGCTGTCCCTTGGTAAGAGCCCAGGGCTTGTTCCTCCAGTTTCTCCATATACAGATTGGCCACTATAGGAGAGACTGGGGAGCCCATCGCACAGCCATGAATCTGTCTAAAGAAGGTGCCTCTAAATTGGAAATACGTGGTGTTAAGACACATTTCAAGTATTTCACAGATGTGGTCAGCTGTTAGTTTCGTTCTCTCCCCTAGTGTGGCGTCTTTCTGTAGGCTTTCTCTTACAGCCTCCACCGCCTCTGTAATAGGGACCGACGTAAAAAGCGATGTCACATCAAACGAGACCATTGTCTCATCTGTGTCAAACTGGAGGTGTTTGATTTTATTCACAAATTCTTTTGTGTTTTCTATGTGATGGTGGGTGTTACCCACCAAAGGAGCCAGAATGGTTTTGAGGTGTTTAGCCAGGTTGTAGGTGATAGAGTCTATGCTACATACAATAGGCCGAAGTGGAAAGTTTTGTTTGTGTATTTTTGGGAGGCCATAAATACTGGGGATGGTGTCTCCTGGGTAAAGTTTGTAATATAGTGGTTTTTCAATAATGCCCTCTTTCATTAAGTTCTGAAGGAAGTCTATAATCTTTTTCCTAAACCCACTGGTAGGGTCCCTCTTCAATGGCTGGTACGTGTTGGTGTCCAAGAGTAACTGATTAACTTTGGCCTCATAGTCTGAGCTG